ATCTTCTTCAATTTCTCTCTTTAGGGTTCTGTAGTTTTCATTGTATAAGTCTTTCACCTCTTAGGCTGATTCCCAAGTATTTTATTTTTTTTGAGGATATTGTGAATGGAGTGGTTGTCCTCATTTCCTCATTTTTAAAATTTCTTTTTGTAGCTTTGGTAACAATTTCAATTTCCATAAAACCAAAAATAAGTTTTATCCTTTTCAGTGAATTATTGATACTTTTTCCTGAAGGAATAACAATGTTTGCTTACTAAGTGCTACCTCAGAAATTGGAGGTGTTATATAAAATTCAGAAGACTCACAATATTGTTCTCTAAGAAAAATTCTGAATCTAGTCATAAGGACATTATGTAAGAGATGATGGGTATGTATTTTCTTCACACTGAAGGGGGAATCATGTTTAGTGAGTGCCTGGCTTCATAACCAGGAAACTATGGACAGGGATTTCAACTCAGGTATGTTTAAGTATGATAGTTTCTTTCTTTACCAAATTGGAACTAGTTTTAGGGCAAAGAAATGAAAAATCATCATTTTAAATGAATAATGAAAGATGGCTTTGTGAGCTGCAGCTACAGATGAGCATCAATTTTTAATCCATTATTCAGTTTGTGAAAGATGGAAGAACTTTCTTTTTTTATACATTTGCAGAAACTCATTTGTTCCTTATCCCTTTCTCTTTAGCATTAGTCCTGGGATGACACACAGGCTTCCTATAATACCAAACCAAATGTCCTCTTAGTTACACAGGTAGAGCAAGATGAGGTCAAGCAAGTTCCAAACACAATCCCTTTACCCAACTCTTCTACCCTAATATTCTTCAGTGTCATAAGTCTGAACTTATGACCAGTGTTAACTCTTTTCAGGTCTTGATTCTTCACAAAAGTCTATATCTGTGTTCTTTTTTTTCTCCCTTTTATATACTCTGGGAAAGAACATTGTTGATGTGGTGCTATCTCAACTTTTTCTGGAGTTACTTTTAAAGGGTTGATTTTACTTCTTTTCCCAATCCCATGGTTCATCTCGATAGATCAGGTGATTTTATTGATTCTGTGATTATAGTTCTATTTATTATAGAACTAGAAAAGTATGTAAGACAGAACTCACCTATTTAATATAATCATCTTCTTTTGTATATAAAAATGTATATAGGTATACCTAGAACAATAATTAGGAACCAGAAAGTTAGGTTCTGATTCTTGCTCTTGGAAACAAACCAACCAATGAACCCAACAACTTAAACTTGAAGTTTTGTTTTATCATCTATTAAAAAAGGAGGGGGAAATATATGATCTACATATGGTATCCCAGCTCAAACAATTTTGTCAAGTCTTAATACTATATGGAGAATACAGCAACACTGAAATAACATCTCTAAAGTGAACTTTAAAGACTTGTAACTTTACTTTTTCTTACTTGTCTTTTATTCTTTTCAGTTTTTATTGTGTTCTCTTTTTCTTATTGTTCCTTTTCCAGATAGTTCTGATTTTGCTATTCTGGGCGGAGGGACAAGAGACAGAGAAAGCATAGCAATTATAAAAGATTGAGAACAAGTGAGATGAAACCATATTTTTGTGGAATATATTTATATGCAGTTTGTATTTTCAAAATAAAAATAGATACAGTCCCCTTTCAAAACTAAAAACAAACAAATAAACAAACAAACAAACAAATAAAACCTGACCTGGTATAAAATTGTAGAGCATGTATTATTAAAATTTTCTTTCCTAGTGGGTAAAAATCATGTCGATATTTAAAAACACTTTTTTCCCCTAAAAGACTGCTGCAAACTTGTCTTGAACATGTCAATTCAAAGTGTAGAAAGCAACAAAACTGTCACCTGTTCAGGTTGGGTGTGATTTTTGTCCTTTGTCTTTTCTGTCACTTAAGTTTGCAGTCCTTGGCTTTAACTTGGCCCACTATTCAAAGATTCAGTTGTGTCAATTTCAGGGGACTGTTGTTTTTTCTTCCCCGGTTGCTTTGGGCCAGCTCTGGCCTCTGAACACCTGTGATTGAGGCAAGGCTCAGAGTTGATAACTCTGAAGAGGCTGCTCATCCCATGATGGATGACAAGATGTGCTGAGCCTTTGGGACAGATGAGGCATGATGTTACTAATAAAAGACATCCCTGCTGCTGATAGGGGGGAGGGAGCAGATGTGAGGGTAAGATTCAAGTGACAACCTTCTCAGTGTTCCAGTGATACAGGATGTTATAGAAAGGGGAGTGGTCAGTATGTGCAGAGGTGAGACCTGAGTGTGGGCAGTAGAAGATGCGGCTTTCAAAAATTTCTGACCTTCTGCCTGCCAACATGGAATTAGATTTCTTGATGGAGGGGGAGGAGGACAGAAGAGCTGGAAAAGGCAGATGCCAAGAGAGATTACTGACCCAGCAACCAGACAAAGGATGCAGCGGCTGGCACCTGAGGCAAGAGGGACAGAATAGTGTAGCTGGCTGGTCTAACACTAAGGGCTCAGTGCCAGAGTCTGAACTGCTGGAGAGTGGTCTGAGGTGGCCTTTTCTGTAGAGAAATAAGGGGGAAAATGTGAAATTTAATATCTTTGGAAAGATTTTTAGAGTTGACATATAGAAGATTATTTAGCTACCTTTCTCCTATCATAGAAGCATAATCTTCTATACTCAAATTAATAATATTTAAAAATAATCCCCAAAATATTGCCATATTTCCAGTTCCAGATTGACATAGTGGGATTTGACAACAGCCATCCTTCACTCCCTGACAGTGAATGGTAAGTGACTTTTCCATTTTTCAACTATTGTCCCAGAGTAATATTTTTGACTGAATGACCTCACTGGTTCCATCAGAAGACAAAGCTACACAAATGAGAAAACTTTATATTTAGGAGCATCCTTCCAGGCATTTGCTCTGGTCCCTCCCTCCACATTTGTTTCTCATCATATATCCATAATCCACTAGATGTCGCTGTTAACTCAGGCCTTTGGACAGCAATAACAGCAACGGGCCTGCCCTTTTGTGCCAGGGGAAAAAACAATCTTTAGAAGTGGAGGATAATGCTATGGACTTTAATAAGACCTCTTTGCCTGGCATTTTTATCTAAAAATAGATATTACATATGCTTTTCAATTTGGTTGCTATTTCCCTTTCTGCTTTTGAAAGGGGAGAGACTGAATTAAATGTGTTTCTTCCCAAGAATGTACCTTACCTTTTATCCTCACTAATTCTTAATTCTCCAATGAAATATAGCTTTTACCCCTATACTATGAGGAATATTTTTTTAGAAAATTAGGAAAATCACCATCCTATGGACATTCGGAATATATGAAGGGACTCCAAATATTTCTCCCCTAATCTCTTACAAATCTTAGAGGGTTTCAAAACACAGCATATGATTTTTAGGAAAAATGATGTAATTAACTTAGAAAAGAATCCTGCAAAGGCACAGGGATTCAGAGTTAAGATTCTGTCTTTATGATGAATCTCAGATACATGCTTGAACCCAAGGGACAGATGTTGCCATGAGTCTCGGGTTGTTAAATAAAGGTGTTAGACACACAAAGCACTTATTTTCCTTCTAAATTTCCTTTTTCTTTACTAAATATTGGCTACAGATGTATATTTTGAGATTTAATCATTAATATTTATCAAAGTGCTATTTAAACATGAAATTAAATATAACTAAGTAGCAAAACATTTATAAAGTGCTTGTTGAAAATATATTATTTATAGCATCTAAATAAAAAGCTTCAACATAATTTTTCTATAGCAAGTTATAGCCCATAATGAGTAATAGCAAGATGATAGCATTAAAATAATAAATAAAACTTTATAGAATATATCTTTAAAAGCAAATTAAGGCCTTACTTGAGTGGATGGTACAACATGAATCAAGTTCTTTTTTTGAACTTAATCAGTAACCATTTAATATTTGTGTCTTTAACTTTTGGCTGCTTCTAGTAGTTACTGAGCCAGTTGACCTCTAAAGTAGAACTACATCACTCTGCTTTCTCTCTGACTGTGACACCTCAGGATTTATAGGTTATTCTGCACTGTAATTTTACTCTATAGAGTTAACTTTCACCTATGGGCCCATGCCAGCTCACTTGAACTCAAATGGGGATGATAGTCCTTGAGGTGAAGTAGCCATGGACTTTAGGAATTTGAGGGCCCCATTCTTTCCTTTCCTCTCCTCTCCTTAATCGTCCTTGCTGTTTTACCTTCCCCTTTTTCTTCCCTTCCCTTCCTTCCTTCAGTTCTCTTTTTTCTTCTGTCCTTTTTTTCCCCACTTGTCTTCCTGTAGTTTTTTGATAATTCGATGTATTATAGAATTTGTATTATAGGTAGAATCACGACCACCTCCAGATTAGTTTGTAAAGGCTTCCATGACAAATTACAACAAATTCAACAACTCCAGACAACATGTTTTTTATTCTATAGTTCTGAAGGCCAGAAGTTTGAAGGTGTCCCAATTTCAGGTCTGTGCTCCCTCAGGAGGCTCCTGGAGAATGTTTTCTTGTCTGATTCAGCTTCTAGACCTGTGTTCTTGGCATCCTTTGGCCTTCCACTCTTCCCTCAGAGCCACCAGCTGAGCATCTTCAAACCTCCTTCTCAGGGAATGGTATTGCCTTTTCTCTTGTGTGTCATATTGCCTTTTGCCTCCCTTTTGGGACACTTTTGATCACATTTGGGGCCCACCCAGTAGCCCAAATTAACATCTTCATTTCGTGATCCTGACTTAATCTGCAAGATCCCTTTGTAAGTCCCCAGTAAACATTTACAGGTTCCTAGAATTTGGGCTTGTGTCTCTTTGGGGGTCTTTTTCAGCCTCCCTCAATTTCCTAGCTGTATCCTTGGGGAATTTTTCAAGGCTCTCTAAATTTCAATTTCTTACCAATGGTGTTTCTGTGGGATTTTAGTAAGAAAGTACATGTCAAATACTTAGCATAGTGCCTGGCAAAAAAAAAAAAAAAATAAGACCTCTTTAAATTAAAATAATTTAAATGTTAATGAATACTGTCCCTACTACTAAGTATAATTATCTTAAATACCACCTAATTCTTTTTTTCTCTTTCATCTTTTCATCTCATCTTCAATTGAGCTTCTTTCCTCACTGATCTACAAAAATACTTATTTCATGGTCAACAATCTCCAGATTTAAAGACCAGTTCTTGGGGTTCATTTGAGGAGCATTTAATTAATAATTTAAACTTTGCTTAGAAACACTCCACTTACTTTGCTTCTGCCATATAATATTTTCTGTCTTATTCCTTCTTTCACACTGGATATTTCTCTTATTTTCTTTGTCATCTTCTTCTGTCATCTACTACAAAACATTAGTGATTCTCAGAACACTTTTGGATGCTCATCATCTGTTTTCTATGAGGTACAGAGTAGTCTGAAGTAGGTCAGGACAGAGGGACAGGACTATAGATAGTCAGTCCTGGGATATAGCTGAGATATGGTCTGAATCATACTTTGCGGTGATTTTAAGGCCTTGCTTATAAGAATTTTGGCGTTAATCCTGGTGATGCAATGCCATGGGAGGCTTTGACATTGGTGTGCTGGCTGTGTGTTAGTTCAGGCTGCTATAACAAAGTATAGACTAGGTGGCTTATAAACAACAAAAATTTATTACCTATAGTTCTAGAGGCTGGAAGTCCCAGATCAAGTTGACAACATGGTTGGATGCTAGTAAGAATCCTCTTCTGATTTGTAGATTATTGACTTATTGTATTCATACATGAGTATGAGAAAGAGTGTAAGAAATCTCTAGGGTCTCTTATAAGGGCACTAATTCCATTCCTGAGGGTTCTACTTTCACCTCCCACAGCCCTACTTCCTAATATCATCACCTTGAGGATTAGGTGAATTTTAGAGCACACAAACATTCAATCTTTTGCAGTGATGCTGATAGTGAAGAACTCTTTAGTTCTTTACTCCCCATAAGGCCTACAACTGAATGATCTCTTTTCTGAAAACTGCAGAGCCCTTGAGAATATAATATAATAAAATAATATAACATAATAGTACCTAATACTTCTGGACTTGGATCAAAGCCCACAGATTACAGGGCTTTGAGGAGAATGACAGGGGTTCAGCTCTTATTCCCTATGTTTAGTTATGATATGGGGGTTTCCTATAAATAGGGAAAACAGCCACTAATTGTGGCTGTGATTTAATTGGGACAGTTTCATAGTACTCTTCTACATGAATGAGCCCCAACTGTGGCTAATGTAAGGACAATAAAGAACATTTGTCTTTAGCCTGTTTTCCTATTCAAGGGACCAAAGTGCCCTTACAGAACCTATACAGAGCCAACACTTGGATACCTCTTTTAAAGGTGAAACAGATAAACAGTTCATATTCAACACAGACATAACAACAACTAAAAGAAAGAGAATGGTGGACTTGGCATCAGGCATTGTGGTTGCTCATGTGATTAGGTATTTTACTGTTTCCTTTTAACTGCCACTGGAGCTCAGATGGAGGTGCTGTCTCTATAGACTTGCACTTGTAATCAGTAGTGTGTCCTGCTTTTGTGGAGGGGGGAAGAAATTTGAATAAGATATGAGAGAATCTCATAACTAAAAATAGAGAAATGTTATAATCATCAGCTGAAAGATCTATAAAGAGATTGTTATCTAGGAGGAAAGAGGGTGATAGGTGATTATTTGGATTATTTGGCTAAACAGTAAAATAATTTCAGTTTTAATTCCAATTGGTAAAACCAAGTAGATCCATATTTATGTTATTATCATGTTGATTCTTACAAAAAACTTTGAATTGAGTTGTTACTGTTTCCATTTTGTAAATGGGTAACAGGAGGTTACATGAAGTCAAGTGACTTGCTCAAGGACACAAGGATAGCAAGATGCAGATGAGAGATTAGAGCCCTCATCTCTCTGACTTTGACCTCTGTGTCTTTGTAACCCACAGTTCTGCTCTATATAGAAAACTGTTACATAGGTTCCATGGCAGTGGTGAGTTTAAATAAAGTTAAAAAATAAATAACTTTTAATCATATTATAATCCCACGTAGATCAAATCATCTAAGGACATATAAGATAGACTGAAACAAATAATGAACTAATTCTGAAGTTAGATTTCGTTAAGACTGCAGAAATACTTCCATTTTTCTCTATCAGGTAGCTCTGGATTATTTTAACCATAGTATGTGATTATTGTTTTTGTATTATCTATTTGGCTTCATTTTGGAATATAAGCACAGTATCCTATTTTTGTCCTCCTTCCTGATATTTTACTATCACCTAGAATCAAGGATTGGCACTTAATAGGGCTTCCATAAATATTTTTTTGAGAAAATAAATGAATAAGGAAATTATATTTAAGCTATTGCCTAAATTTTACCCTAAAGTCTTAGGGACAAAAATGGAGGAGTAAAGGAGGAGGAAGAGGAAAACTAAGTATAATCCTATCATGTTATTCAAGAGTTAGTAGATGAGGTCACATGAGCACATCATTACTGGAAAAATTTGCCTTTGTAATGGCTTTAATGACACTTGAATAACAACTCTGGATGAAAGCTAGTTGTATCAAAATTCTTTTTTTTTTCTTTGGTGCTTAGGGGAACTCAACCATTAAGCCACATCCCCAGCCCTATTTTGGGTCTCACTGAATTGCTTAGTGCCTCACTTTTGCTGAGACTGGCTTGGAACTCAGGTGAGTCTCCTGTCTCAGCCTACTGAGCTGCTGGGATTATAGATGTGCACCTCTGTACCTGGCTCTTTTAAAAATGGTTTAATGAGCTGT